ATCGGTACAGAAATGCATTGCTACCCACCGACCTACGATTCTAATCCGAAATATCGAGGACAAAAGATGGAGGAAGATGCCTCTGGAAACAAGGGCGATGGAAACAATGGCCCGCGATAAAAAATGCTTCAGCTGTCCACTAAAGTGTCTCTTAGCTACAAGACGTTCGGAAGCATTTCTAGACACTTACTCTATATTTTATAATTCCTACATTCTTAAATTTGGGGTAACTAGATTTCTAGGTCTGTGGATTTTTAGACTCATGGGTCCTTAAATTTCTAGACATTTAGATTAGTAGTACATCTACAGATTTCTGGATCATTAGATGAGCTGCTGATCTCTGCATCATTAGGTTACTATGTCTACATCCCTAGACTTCTAAATCAGTAGATCTAGGTTTCTATATTAGTATCTGAGTATTTCTATAATCACCTCTATATTCTTAGATCTTTACACTCGTAGATCCCCACACATCCCTACATACATACTTAGATCCCCACACAACCTTACATACTTAGATCCACACATCCACACATCCACATATCCATACATTCTCATCCCCAATCCCTCATACCCTCAGACGTCTATATCCTCCCAGTTGTCTTTCAAGCACGTAAATATAGACGTTCTGATCAACTCGCAGAATTTCAGCTAATGAATTGCTGTGTGCAAAGCAAACCGTCGAAATCCTAGCCTGTGTCTGACGATAAACGTAATACCTAATGCTTTTTAACCACAATGAATCTGCCACCTGTGCCTAATCCGTCGTCCAATCCTTCAGCTATATCCGGCAGCTATCAGTGTCGCGCTTTCATCCGAAAATTCTAATCAGCACGGCACCATCAGTCAGTGTTTAGTCACTGCAGACTAGGCTGCGGTTACAGCGTGATGCTGGTAGCAAGCGAAGACGGCACAGAGAAAGAGGCCTCGAAGTGATGCGCGTTAAACAGATAGAGCAAGGAACAAGGAGATACAGGGGAGACAATGATGAATGAGGGTGCAGCGGATGAAGCGAGAGAGAAATAGCAATACAGTGGAGCGGCTTTTCCATAGTGTGTACAGTGACGCCCAAAAGTATTCTTTCTTTATTGACCCTCGATGAAGTCAACCATAGAAGTCTATGTTGAAAAATTTATCAGTGTAGTTTGGTCAAATTTTCGATCTCATTTTGTGGGTAGATTAACACACGAAATTTCAGTATCTTAGCCACCATTTTACATCTGGATGACTCGGTTATAGGGTTAAATTTCTGCTCGAATTACGATGGAAATAAAATTTCCATCAGTTTTCAAAGAAGTAGGCTCGAGGAGGTACAAATACTTATGCGACCCACTGTATATGTAGATATATGTATAGCGAACGTACGAAAGCAAAATACAGTGGAGAGGCGAGGTGATGTAGAGGGCTGGTGACGGCAGAAAACGTGGCAGGGGATGCGTTACGTCATGTGTGAAATTACAATCACCCACCCTTAATGCGCTCGCCTTGACTCACCCCATTCTGTCCACGCATGCTCGTGTGAGCGTCTACATGTACGAGCGCGTTACAACTATTTCTATGAGTACACGCTATTATTATACATTATACACACGTATACGGGGTGTTTCGCATATTCGGTCTGATATTACAGACAGGTGTTGGATCTCGTGGGTCACATCGTCTTCGTTTCCAAGATATGCACCGCATTAACTTTACTATGTATTCGAAATTGTGCGATGTTTCACTTAACATTCACGTATTCCTGCTGCAAAGGAGGAATTGATGTGTTAATATTATCTAGTTACTATCACGAGATAAAATGTATTTGTATAAATTAGAAATTAAATTGACTGTCAAAGTTGTTAAAAAATTCTTCATGTCTTAAATCACCATGTGTCAGTAAAATTATTGTGACCTATTGAGGTTTATGTTATAAGAATAAATATAAGGGTAACATATGTTACGTATGTGTAAAGGTTGTACATAATAATCGAACAGTCATGCAATTAATTTTAATGTTAGATTCAAAATTTTAATGTTTGAAGAATAAAGAGGTGATCAAATTGTGATCACCCAGTATATAACGAGGAGTAGATGTGTCGGTGTGTGCGAGCACGTTGTTTGGTATTCCGGGTATCTCTTTATATCTACATATACAGGCGATAATGAACACCAGTGGCTGGGAAGAGAAGTGTGCACCGTACGATGCGAAGGTTCGGTGCATCGGCCCTGAAGAACCTTTGGTAAACTTTGACGTGTAAACTGGCCGGTACGGAGCCGATCAGCGTGTTCGCTTATACGGGGCGGCTCGAAAATATAATCGTTTAATGGCCGTGCATGCTTTCACGCTACAAGGCCGGTAGATGAACCTAATAAATTGATACAACGCGACGATACAATGCTTGTTAATTTCCTGTCAAATCCAGTGGTATCGTTAATTAATTTTACGCAGCTTCGATGTAATCGGAGGCGACTCAAACAATAGCGTTGTTCGTGAAAGATATTAGTAATTTGAAAATTTAAGCTTAAAAAATTTGAAGGTCAGAGAATTACAAAATTTAGAAATGTGAAGAAGGGTGGATTTGAAGGGTGGCTTTAAAAGTTTCGCAGAGATTTTATGTTCGATGATCGAGCAACGTCGGGAATATCGATTGAAAAGACAGGGTGTTCAATATTTCAGCAACCGATTTCAGACAACCGAATGCCCGATGCGGAGTGCGTGGCCGTGCCAAGAGCGGTCAACACGAATGAGATTAATAAATATTAGAGGGACAGGGATACTCGAGGGATGCGCGTGATTTAAAGAGGTCCATGCCGCTGAGTGTTTTAATAAATAAACGGCCGTCGGAGTTGCAGTACGCAAAATTACTTGGGTAATTGTACGTTTTTCTTTTTTCCTTTCACAGCTCGACGGGTAATCGTTTTTTGTCTAACCTCCCGGTTGGATAAATTAGCGAGTCTGGAAATTGCGAGTCGGGTATTTGTGACTGTCACGGGTCGACTAACAAAGAAATATAACAATTAAATATCAAACTTCACCCTAAACTATCAAGATAAAACTAGTAAATCTAAATACAAAATGGAAAAAGTGTATCAAGAAATTAAACCTTATCTTCAACCCTTATTAGAACAACTTTTAAGTGTCACACTATCTGATTATTTTTTCTACACTGACATTTACAGAAAGAAAATAACACTCGTGCAAAACGATCCGCATCGAGTCCTCGCGGAAATTAATTACGAGTAATTGCAGAAAAAACGAAGTGGATGATATGAAACGACGAGAGATCATTTAAATTAAACCGACATCTATCATTTCGATGTAATTACTTCATGACGTGATCTTTTAATGAAAATTCCGCAATTTAACCGGGCTGCTAACCCTGAGCCGTGGCTCGTTATTTTTATGGTGTTTGAATTTAACGCGGTTTAGTTTCGCGTTGACGGTTTGCGAATCGACATGGGGTGCTTTTCACCCGACCTACTCGTTTTCAAATATTTTATTTATCCAAACATTCGCCGTATAATCTTACAGATACAATCTATATTAATTCTTATAATTTTATATTAATTCATAAGATACTAATTTATAAGAGGATTAAGAATATGTAGATTATGAGAATATGAGATCAAGAACATGTGTTGATTTTTACAAAATCGTAGAAGCGTGTTTCAGTTCTGTATTCCTGTTCCCCTCTGGCGAGCACACAATTACACATATGGCCTCGTGCCACGTTTCCTGAGCCCATTGTCTATTACAATCATTAACGGTATACCGATTATCCGCTAGAATGCCTCGCAACTGCACAGCTTTTCAGATTGTTACAGATTTTATCGACTGTTCATCCCTTTATTAAACTCTTATGTCGAGCGATTTTTTATAATTACTAAATTTCTTGCAACTTGCGATTAAATCGGAAACATTGGAACTTACCCATCTATCGATGTCACCTAACTTCTTTTTCATCGGACAAACGATCTACTGCTTCCTGCAGACTGCGGATCTTTTCACATCTTTGATTCCTGCTTTCCACGTTCTTGCGCTGGATTTCTTATACGTACGCCATGTTATACATGAATTGCTGCGAAAAGAAAATACGATTTGTTAAAACATCTTCTATTTTCTGGGTCGTAATTGTTAACGACTTTCACCCTATGAAAGTGTAATGTAAATGAGGTAGAATAAGGGTAATTAAATGGAGAAACATTGGATAGTTAACGTAAGGGATTCACCCTAAAATAGACTTCATTATGTAGAAACGAGGGTGTTACATATGTTGGATATTTAGAAATTTTCCAAGCCATCAATTTTCTAACTTAGTTCCTAAATTCTGGAAACTCTAAATCCCCATAAATTCCCAGATCGCATATTTTCAATCTCGAAATCCCGTTTCAAAACTTCCAAATTAAAGCCCTTCAGTGCCAGGGTGTTCACCCTATAAATCTAAAGACCCGATCGCACTCCTACAAAAATCCAACTTATTAATGACCACCGGTTCCATTAAAAAAGACTTCATCATTCTTTACCCTTTGAGGAATCAACTCACCATTTTAGCGTGATCGCTAAAAGGCAAGTATCGGTACTTTTTATCAGCTGTGACCGCCATATTGAAAATTGCATAGATGTCAGATTACTATAAAAATTTAATGGTCAATTAGACTGTGATCAATATAGCAGATTTAATCAAGTTGCAATATAAATGTACCAATTTATGAACAAATGTAGATTATTGTTAAAGAAATCTTACCGTTTTCATAATATCTTGTACTCTTCGTAGTCCAAGTAATTAACCCAAATACTTAGCAAAGGGAAGAAATTCTTGTGTCATCCATATGTGGTAGTCAATATCGTGGAATCCCTAAAAATCGATCGGTTAGGAAGGTAATGATAGAAATTAGCGAATAGGCACGGTCGAAATATCAACATACGTATCTGACCGCGTTGATGGTGGGGAAAAGAGATGCCGAATGGCGTTTGCGCGGGAGACGGCCACGTAACGGGGGACAGATTCGTGGGGGAATCGCAGGAACGCGGTCGCATAGTCGTCCGGCAGCGCCGCGACGCCCTCGAGGCGAACTAGACGCTTTACGCTCTGTGCTCGCTAGCGAGACATTTCGGCGTTTCTAACCTTGTCCCGACGCTGCGTGTCGCTCCTACAGTTCGTACAGTGTGTAACGAGTGGTGTCGTGCGTCCTCATTTTTCCATCTTCTTTCACGCGTTCGTTCTTTCTCACCTCTGTGCCGACCTGTTCCGAGTGAATCCGCCAATCAGTGAACAAAAGAAGTCAGCTGACGAGAGACGACTTTACCGCACATCCTGTCAACGAAAATACTCCTCGTTTACACGGTGAGCATTTTTATTTATTCCTGTATGAACTTTCTCCGGAATGGGCGCGTCTTTTACGACACTTTTAAACGACTGTCAGCGAACTCCGTTTAAATCGCTACCTTTGAAACAAACCGTCTCATAGGTCCACTCGCTTTAGCGCTACTTTCGCGCGAAATTTTTAACTCGCGCTGCTACGACCTGTGCCGCACTTCAGTTTTGTTGCGTGCACGGGAATAATTGATGAGTTTATACGGTTGTATGAATTGTAGCTGTAATATAATTAATAGTAATATAATTTGCACTCAAATTTAGTTTAATAATTCAAATGTAAGAATAGTTCAAGTTTGAATGTAAAGATAGTTTTTAATGAGAGAAATTAATTAAATGTTCATTACTGAATTTTGTTCAGACATATTCCAAGTGACCATACAAGTCTAAGATAGGCTTATAATTTAATTTGCACATTTTTGTACACAACTCAGTATCAGTTCGGAGTTATTTCAATATTGATATAACTATTTCAATAACTGAGCACTCACATACTGCAGACTTTACAGGTATCAACTGATAAAAGTGTATCGCCTATTTTTGTGCAAACTGTTGTATAAAATATCTATAAAAGATGTATTAAAAAATAAGGACCCAAAGTAGGTCATGCTAACCCACTCGGTACTGTCAACTTCAGCCGAAACAGCATTGAATAATTTCGCGAGTTTGAGTCACAATTAACCCTTCACCCAAAGGTTAAACACGAAAATCCTTCTGAAAGAATTATGAACGACGTTAGCTTATCAACAGCTGTTTACACAAAATCTGCTTTGTGATTATTTCTGTATGATGGCTCATCAGAGGTTTTGCCTCGTAAATTTGCGCGTGGCGAAGGACACGATTACGTTTCAAAGTCCGAAGAATAAATGTTGTTCCGCAAACAATCACGCACCCGAAAGTTAATTTCTATTTTTAATATCGTGGCAAGGGTAAGAGGGTACTGAAACGTGTTTTTCTATGGAGAATAATAGCGTAATTTTCTTGTGTGCGTCCTTGACACGGTTAATTCGCCCACGAACAGTCGATAAGCTGTGTACGGTTGTAAGGACACAGGGTGGTGATCTTGAGAATGTTGACTAAAGTATTTAGAGTTTTATCAAGGTCCGTCAATTAACGCAGAACTTTGCTATAATTGTACCTCGCAGAATGTTATAATAAAAGTTTACAGATCTGAGGATAACCAAATAATTGGTCTGACGTATTTTAGGGTAGCACCACGTGATCGCGGTTGTTCTTCACATCTTTCTCTCGTGTTTCTCACAGTTCGATATTTTTACACGAAACGCGTACTCCACCCCGTCCAGGAGTGTATGTAAATAAATCGTTTAGAAAACGAGTCTAATGACGATCAACGCGGCGCCGACAAAAGAGAGCGCAAGCGACAAAGGGAGTACAACCGCAGTTTCGCGTCCCGTCGCTAAACCTCTCTTTTTCTTTTCTTCTTTTTCTCATTTTCTCGTTTCTATTCTCTCGGAGCGTCGAACGTGTCTCTCGCACAAACGACAGAACCCTGTGCATTAGTTTTTGCCAGCTCCCTTCGTTTCGTTTTTTCTTCGCTGTAATAGCAAAGGGAGGGAAACAGGGTTGGAGGACTATATAGCCACGTGTGTTTTTCTTTGCCAAAGTATCGACAAACGGGGGACAAAGTTAAAATTGAAAAGTTACCGGATTACGCTCTTTTATATCATTCTGTAACATCGAATCAAAACTTATGGCAAATGGCGGAATTTTTTGTCACGCTGTATAGCCACGTGCTAGATCGCCACGTGTTACATTTCCATACGCTCTATTTCCACGCGGAGGATTACCATATGTCGGATTTATTCTATTTCCACGTGTACGCAGTTTATTTCCTTTTCTGTTACATAGTATTTGTTATAAAAAATAATGTAGTAGATAACAGATAGAAATTCTCAGTAAAATGGGGTGAACTAATATCTCTCCATTTGTACATTAACAAGATTTGAGTTTGAAGGCAGTAAAAAATAAAAATAAAGAAGGTGAAAAATCAGGAATACTGGAGACGTCAATGCGTTAATAAGATTGGGTATTTTGAGTGTAAAAAATGGCACGTTTTTCCCCTTATTTCTTAGGACTGCCTAGTTTTTTCTCATTTCCACTCGTCGTTCCCGGTCTCCTTCCATCTTCTTCCGTTCGAGTCTCTCCTTTGTCTCCCTGGAAACCTTGCGGTAGTTATGCGACGTTCGGCCCAGCCGCTTCGCTGGTGGGGTTAGAAAAAAGGGGGTTGGGGGTTGACTTGAGGGGTTGTAGGTGGGTTGGTTGGCAGTGGGCTGAGAGATGGGAGTAGAGAGGATACGGTCCTGAACGTGACTTGGATGCAATATTTAAAAGCGGCACAACGTCAATACTCCACTCTTCTTTTCTCTTTCTCTGTCTACTTTCTTGTTTCCTTTACCGTGTTTCCTCGGCGACATCTTCGCGATCAACCGACCACCCCTGTTACGATCGGTTACAACAAGGCGATCCCGAATCGGCCGCTTGGTCTGACCTTAACCCGACATCATCCCCTTTGTCGACCCTACGGTCCGTCACGAAGGGAGCCTAATGTTTCCTGAAATTCGTTACCTCGTCCCTTGTCGCGAACACTGGCCGGCAATTCTCTGCAAAATTTCCCCGTTTAACTTGGACATTCTTCGGGAAATCTCGAACAACCCTCTTGCCTTCGGGGAAATTAGGTTGGGGAGCTGCATTTGCAAGATAGGAAATATGAAATACTGCTTCATCTAATTTTTTCGCCGATATCTTCTGAAATTACTACCCTTATTAAGCTGTATCGTATACTTTATTCGAGCAAGTTAATTTTTTATCAGGATGGGTCTTTGCAGGAAAACTGAGAAATATTTCTAATTAACAATAGCAAGATCGGTTGTTGAACTAAAGGGTAATTTTTGCAATTTTGTCCATCTTTTGTCAGAAATCAAAATTTTAGCCGAGGGTGAAATTGTCGATGTGAACGCACTTAAAAGTGGTGCATCGGGGATTGAAGAAGAAATGGCGGATAAAGGATGTAGAATTGGAGTATAGTTTATCATAATTTACATAAATAGAGGGTGCGAGAATTGCATCGGAAGAGTTACCCTCTTTCCGTTCGACGTCTAACAGAATGCGTTAGAGTTCCACCCCTCGCACGACCTCTTTCTTTACTTCGTTTTACGCCCACGCCCTTGCCCTTGACTTTCTCACCCTTACTGCCTTCGGATACCACCTTATCCCGAGCTTAATTCGTGAAAGGAACGGTCGATGAAGGGCGTGTCTGGATGTTCGAGAAGATCAGTTAGGAGGGAAGAAAAATTTTTAGGGTTACCCGGGTTATATTCTTCACTTTTTTTTTCCTCTCTGATCGAACTTCGATGGTATTTATTAGCATTCAAATATACACCGACGCTCGGTATACTCATTAATTTCAACTTTAGTGAACGATCAGTTTTCTTATATTAAACACACCTTTTGAAGGATGATCTATGTTCAATCTTGAAATATCTTAAATATGATCTTGGTTCTATTGACGTATATTTTTAATTAAACTTCGTTTCCCATATAATTGGTTTGTTCGTGTCAATGTTGAGTGATGAGTTTTTGAAGAAACAATTGGCGACATTCATAACTCAAAAAAAGTAAGCAATATGAAGGATCGACACAATTTGTACAACACAACACAATACCAAAAGTAAGCAATTTCAGCACATGTATCACATACGAGTTCAAAAAGCGTACGAAATTTATCGTTGTATGAAACGTGACATAGATGTTAGTGTGTGTTCAAGGTGTTCTTTATCATTTTCTCCTGAAAACAGTTTCCCGTTTCTTTGCATATTCATCGAACAACCACAGTTGCGCCATTACGTGCCTCCAGCTTAATGTCGGTAAATGCATATTCGAGCTTATTCGCGATGCTTTAACCAAGGACTATCTGTAATCAATATTTGCGTGTCGGTTTCACGTGCACCGTTAACTGCTATTGACCAGAATGCCACTCGTTCCGAGCATCGTTTCCTTCGATAACGACCCTATAAGGATTCCGAAAGGGATCCTCGAATCTATAGGTTTACACTTAATTCTGATACGCCGGCTACTACGGAAACCCCGTTTATACGGTAACTGCTCTCCGATGTTGGATTTATGAACTTGCCTCTATCAAATTCAATAATACAGCAACCACCGATGATTTACAGGAAGGCCGTGAGCCGTCGATGGATCGCAATAATCCGTCAAAGCGATAAATCTATTTTAAAAATTCAACGGGTATAGTTATATCTACTGGATGCGAGAGGACACCGATTTCATTTATGTTTCATTTAGGACGTAGGAACCGACGAATGAATCTACGACCGCATAGGATCACGGGTGAAATTTTTATCTTAACATTCTTGTAATTAAGTTGTCATGCGTGAAATTTGCTATACGTTATATTGCCACTTGTGGAATTTATTTTGCGTTATATCGCCACTTGTGGAATTGGCTACGCGTTATATTGCCACTCGTGGAATTTGCTGCGCGTTATATCGCCACGCGTGAAATTTTCTACGCGTTGTATTGCCATGCGTGAAATTTTCTACGCGTTATATTGCCACGCATGGAATTTGCTACGCGTTGTATCGCCACGCGTTAGAGTGCCACTCGTGGAATTCGCCACGCGTTATATCGCCACGCGTGAAATTTTCTACGCGTTATATTGCCACACGTGAAATTTTCTACGCGTTATATTGCCACGCGTGGAATTTGTTACGCGTTGTATCGCCACGCGTTAGAGTGCCACTCGTGGAATTCGCCACGCGTTATATCGCCACGCGTGAAATTTTCTACGCGTTATATCGCCATGCGTGAAATTTTCTACGCGTTATATTGCCACGCGTGGAATTTGCTACGCGTTGTATCGCCACGCGTTAGAGTGCCACTCGTGGAATTCGCCACGCGTTATATCGCCACGCGTGAAATTTTCTACGCGTTAT